TAAGCTCCTACGCAATGCTAACTTTTTTTATTATACTTTTATTGACTGCTCGCCATGGCTCACCCAATTTTCAAACGTGGGAGGAGGATAAAAATAAGAAAAAAAATCAATCTTGTATTCATTTCTTTGGTACAAATCTTTCATGAACGAAAAACAAAATATATGGAAATTAAATCCATTTTTTATTATCAAAACTTTTGAATTTAACCCGTCTTTACTGTCATTAACAAAAGTGCTTACTTAACTACTAAAATACTAATAGTATTCTGTAATTTAGATTTTACTAAATATTCATTTTAATTTTAAGTTATATAATATAAGATAATTTTTTATCTTTTAATTTACTCATATAACATATGATTTAAATTTAAAAATTTTTATTTTTATTAGAAGAAAATTAAAATTTAGGCCTTGACATTAAATTATGAAATATTAATTATTAAGTGATGAAAATGATACATACATCCTATAAAGTTATATAATTTTTTACGCATACTTGATTCATTATACACTGATAATTCACAAAAAATGAGTTATTATTCTGAACACAAAATTAAAACTAAAAAACTCTAAATGAAAAACTTATTGTTCAGAATATAAATTAATGTTTTTTGAAAACCTAAGCAAAATTTCAACTCAATCGAATCGTGAACTTTTGCAGATCGGACAAAATAACAAAGTTATACACAATACCAAAACTACAAAAAGACAAATTACCAAAAATGAGTTATTGTTTTAGATACAAAATCATAACCTACAAAACTCCAAACAAAAAACTAACCATTCAAAATGTAAATCAATATCTCTTGAACACCCAAAAAAATTTTTAACTCAATCCAACAATGAACTTTTTACAAATAAGATAAAATAGCAAAACTACATGTAGTACCAAATTTACAAACATTTCCCTTGTTTTCTTTTCTTTTTTCTGTTGATTGGCTCCATTCACATGCACTTCATTTTTTGCAATATCATCCCAAAACAAGACTTATTTTATGTGTCTAATAGGTTACAAAATCATGAGCTAAAACAAGTATGATTTTGTGAAAAAATGAACTCTTTCTCAAGATATTGGAGACTTAGGATTCTAATTTGATACTTAAATGTATTGTCTAGCCAAACGAGAAGGAAAAAGGAAATGAGAGAGATAAAGAAAGGGCTAAGTACATTTATGAGAGAAGTATGTAACAAATAAAATAATAAAAATTGTTAATGTGTACTTTATATAATGTATATATATATCATTTGTCTTAACTAATAAGAGTTTCTTGATAATAAGTGAAGATCATAAAAGTTTTACATTTAATTACTGACATTTTATAATTTAATTTTCAAAATACTAAACTATAATTAAAATTTATAAGAACTTGACTTTTCGGGTCAAGTGGTTTTAGCCACGCTTATAAGATTCATGTCCCTCTCTCCCAGGGCAACGGTTCGAGCCGATCTCATGACAAAATATTAAAAAAAAAAATTAAAATTTATAAAAATATCTTTTTTTAATTCAAATTGTGTGCAGCTATGAAAATATTTAAATAGGCTCTTTGAATACGAATTATTAAAAATATTTTGGGACTTTCTGAAGGCGATGCGGTCTAGACCGGGAAAAGAGTTGACTTAAAAAGCTAATTCTTCTGCTTCTTGCCCAAGTCATTTTAACACTATAAATTCACTTATTCTGCAATCAAATCAATCAGCTTATTTCCACTTTTCAGAAAAATGGGTGATGTGAAGCTGTTGGGAACATGGCCTAGTCCTTTTAGTTACAGGGTCATTTGGGCACTGAAACTCAAAGGCATACCGTATGAGTACATCGAACAGGATCTACTCAACAAGAGTCCTCTGCTTCTCCAGTCTAATCCAGTTCACAAGAAGATACCAGTGCTAATCCATGGTGGGAAGCCGATCGCGGAGTCCATCATCATTCTTCAATACATCGAGGAGAAATGGCCGCAGAATCCCCTCCTACCAAGTGATCCTCATGAGAAAGCCGTGGCTCGATTCTGGGTCAAATTTGCCGACGAAAAGGTATACTCTTACGGCTCTTGTTTTGAGCAATGTTTTTGTTTGTGTGGTCCATATATGTTGAGAAAAAAGGTATATCCCATAAAACAGAAGATATTTTAACTTCTTTTTTTTTTAAGAAAATTTTATTTTAAATTATATTTATAAAATAAAGATGTTGGATAGAGAGAGATTTATAGCTGTTTTTTAGACAACAAGTTTTAATTATACAGTATAAAATAGGTTGAATTAAAAAAAGTTTTTTATTTTAAAAAATAAAAAAATTATAATTAAAATGTGAAATTTTTTTTAAAAATATTGTATATAGAAAATTCTTTATTTATTCTGTAATTCAACTTATATAGCAATGTTTCCTATGCCAAATTAGAGTGTCAAAGTAAAACTATGGTCTAAGCATATAATATCTTTCTAAAGTTACCGTTATTGTTTTGTTATTTATTTTATGGGTCGATTTTTATTTATTTTTACTTTTTTTGGTAATTTATTTTTTACGAGTTTTTATTGACGGTTTGATGGCAAGAGCAGAGTCTGTCAATCTGGAAAGTATTTCGATTCTCCGGCGAAGAACAGGAAAAGGGACTGAAGGAGAGCTTGGAAATGCTGGAGATTATTGAAGAGCATGCCCCTGGACTTGGACAGAAGAAATTCTTTGGAGGTGACAAAATTGGAATGG